TCTGTATAAACTTCTAAGCACGCTGAAAAGTACCCTCTCTGCTATTCGCCCTCCCCGTTTTTCGAGTCTCAATTCGCGGATGTTTGGGGCCGCTTGTTTTATTCTTTTGCACATATCTGCGATATTGCTGCCATATTCCTCAGGTAGGCCGTGTTCATTTGCACCTGCATGGTTAAACATTGCCAGACTAATGTGCAGCCGATACATACCATCACACTTGCTGTCTCCAAATGCCAGAAAATTTGCCAGTCCAGTATAGGTTGCGCCATTAATTTTAATAGAATGAACTCTTGGACAGCAAATAGACATAACGGGAGTGACATAATTGTTAAAGGTTTCAATAGCGTCTGTAGCTGCCACTGGTAATTGTGAATATGCAATCTCCAGATGCTCTAGATTAACAAATTCAAGGCTAGTATTGCAGTTGGCAATAGAAGACCATGTAAAGCCATGTGGTATATTTGAAAGACGCAATGTGTAAAGTGATGGTGCACATGCAGCTAGAAATGGAATGGTACTGTTATTTGAAAGTACAATGTCTAGATGTCGAAGGTTTGATGAAAATGCCATGTTTCTATAATCAAGCTGCTGAATGTTGGTCAATGAGCATAGTTGTTTTGAATACATGTCAAGCAACTTGGTCTGAAATGCATTGTAGGCTATGTTTCTTGTTAATTCTAGGAAAGCAATCTTTTCAAGTTTAGGCATGCTACTATTTAAGCAGTCTGCTACTGTTGTCAAATTCTTATATAGGTATTCAAAGTTACTCTCTGAAATACCATCAAACATATATAGACAAGGAAAATTTACTGATTTTACATTAGGCCACTGGTAAGTGTTAAAACATAAAACATTTTGCACAGTATCAAATGATGGAAGACTTAATGACACTGACTTTAGCACTGGAAAACTTAAAACTGGCATAGAATGTAGGCAGGTACCTGTTTGATAATTTCTATCTTCCTGTGGATTATTGTCTGTCTGTGTAAAGGACAAGTTAATAGTCAGAAGATTTGAAAAAGTAATTCTCTCCAATGGTTTACTAAAATTCGACCAATTATAATCTGCTGGTATATCCTTTAATCTTAAATACTGAAGCGTGTCAGTACAGTTTCTAAAATCTATGGATTCAGAAAAATATCCATTGCAATCCATGTCCAATCTTGTCAGATAATTAAAAGAGTTAAATTGCAGACCTGAAATGTTTGTTATAAGCGACTTTAGTTGGAAAGAATACTGATTGACAATCTGTGTGACAATATTATCAATAGACTCATTTTCCCCTCTATCTAAGCTCTTAATATATTGGACATTAGGCATTGCTATTGCTAACAATTTGGCAAACTGTTCAAAAGCCATTTGGTATTTATGATAGTCTGTGGCTTTTTTGGGGATATTTAAAATCATAATTATACTTTTAACACTGCTCCAGTTGTAGATTGCAACATCTAGTAAATTGGAAATATTGTCCAATTGGTCAAGTATATTATCTGTTACAGCTGTAGCTAGATAAATGCTTTTGCAATAGATAGTGCTGTTTGCTATCTTTATCAACTCCAGATTCGAGGCTGGATTAGAATCAGATATATAAAATGCATTTCTGTAAAGTAATTCAACAAATGACTGCCTCCAATGCCTGCACACTGCACATAATGGTAACAAAAGCACCATTCTTGCATGATAGCCTTGGTGGGTTCTGTGTTTGGTATTGTCAATTTGTGCAAATATCTGACTGAGAACAGTTGACGGAATACAAGTGGCAAGAGTCATTTTTAGTAGAATAATACAACCATTAAAACGCTTAGTAAAATAAGATAAAATAAAAATTAATTGCACTTTCAAAAAATTTATACAAAATTGTATTTATAAAAAGTATCAGCTATCTTTTACTAGGCATTTAAAAGAAAATCTATAAAAACAATTGTAATAAAGAAAAATTGTTTTATATAATTATTTTGTTTTTCTTTTTATAAGAATTCAAAGAAATAGAAACATAAAAGCAAAAGTAATAAAAATGTAGCAGAAATTGTGCACTTTTCTGCTTGCTTTAGTTTATAAGTTATTTTAAAATTAGTCTTCACTCTTGTCAATTTTCAATCCATACTACTAGTTTTATCATTGGAAATGAGTTTCTCATCAGTTAACTTTCCATCTGTTGTTGTAAGAAGAATTATCCATCATTATCTTGGTCCGGAGTATGGTTACATGAAAAAGTGGACTAGTGTATCACCTATACTTACTGTCAACAGATTATGGAGAGATGAGTACATTCGTATTGCCAGTAAAACAGTATTTATTAAAAGTAAACCAGATGTTCGAACTACTACAGAAAATATGCTGTACAACACTCAAGCTGACAGCTGGAAGTTTACCAACATTGGTTATGTAGCTCAGCTTGGATACACTGACAAGACAAAGGCTATTAGAATAGATGCTTGTGTTGGTCGAAGGGTGCAAAAACAAATTATATCACTTGTCAATGACCAAGCTATTCAGAACTACATCAAGAACTATAACTGGTCTAATGTTGAATCTCTGGTAGTTATACTAGGAATAGATAATGAGTATGATTACTTTGATAATTCTGTATTACAGGTAGGTGACTACAATCAAATGATAGCTAAATTTGCCAGGCTATTACATGAAAATCTGCCAAATGTAAAGGAACTGATTTTGGAGGGCTGTGATAGCTCTCTTGGTAGTGATACTTTTGGAAAAGAGCTTGTTCGGCTTTTTGGGTGTAATCTAAAGAAATTGGATTGTCCATACAGTGAGCCAGTTCGTGGATTAGCAGGTACTGATGAGCTTCAGTCACTTAGAGTTGGTATTTGTACTGATATCAGACAGAATAGTCAAATAAATAGTTTTGATGTTTCAATGTTAAGAACTCTAAGCATTGGAATCAATGAACACTTTAACTGGGATTGCTTTAGTTGTGATGAACATCCTGAAATATTAGTGTTTCCAAAACTAACAGATCTGACTCTTGATTATGCATGGGATCCCAATCTTCCTGAAGCAACATTTCATTTGAGACATGTTGAATTCCCAAAGCTTCAAAAGTTGACACTTGATCTAGGGTGTGTATCCAACTTGAAAAGAATATTCACACATGGCTTATACAGTTGGCCAAACACAACTAGTCTCTGTCTAAGAAAGATTGGCAAGTTAAAAGAGATGGCAAATAATTCTGATACCAGTGTAGAGAGGTTTGTTGAAAGTCTTGCCAGTAATATTGTCCAATCATTGCCTCGAATTACTAGTCTGACAATCCTTGATAATGAAATGAATGAAGAGAATGAGCATTTAACAGGACTGCTTGTAGCAAACTATCAACACCAGCTGAAAACCCTTTATTCAAAGGTAGCAATTCTTATTGACCAGCCTATCATATTTACAAATGTTGACAGCCTGGCCATAAATATGAAAATACCTAAGGCTGGTTGCTTGATTAGAAAATGTGCACACCATCTTCAATCAATCAAATTGTTTAATGCTCCATCTGGTTTTAGTTGGGGAATTATTTATGATGGAAGAGAATCTACAAACAATGTGATTGAGTTTTCTAACCTAAAATCTATGCATGTCCAGTTTTCTGAATTTGGAATGGTGTGGGCACATGACATAAGTACATTCATACAAGGTTACAAGCTGAAGGATAAGTATGCTACCATTAACTGCCCTAAGCTTACAGAAATAAGCTTAGAAAATTCAATGATACATACAATGAAGAATGTATTGAGTTTTGGCACAACACCTTGGACTAAGGTAAACACACTAGAAATTATATTACATGCTGGTATATATGCACAGACAAATGGTGCCAGTGCACTTGAGAGTAATCTGTATAACTCATTGGTGGAATACAGAAAAAGTATTGTCAGATACATGCCAAATATCAAGAGATTAAAAATAGTTGGTGGTAAGCCAGCATTTGTGGCAAAGTTTAGCCAAGCAATGATTCAAAGCTATCCACATCAGCTAAACCATATTGAGTGTGACCATTCCTTGCCGCCTAGCTGTCTGGCCAATAGCAGATGTAAATCACTTGATATTAGATTAGATTCTAACTACAGAATAGCTCATGGCAGCATAAACACAAGCCATCTTGAAGTGCTTAATATGCTGGTTCCTTCAACTCTCTTTTTCTGGAAGATATTTGAAGGTGTGCAGAGAATAGATATGGCTAGTCTGCGAGAGATTATTGTATGTTCATCTGCTAGAAATGCATACAGGCAGCTTAATCAGAATATAGTTGGATGTGTAGATTCAGATGCAGCAAATGTAGATATTTATATGAGACATGTGGACCACATGCTTGTTGATCTGGAATTAAAGGGTAAGGAAATAAATAATGCTACATTCCACATTGACACAGCTCACAATATTGAATTGAATGGAAATGTGCTAAACTTGCCATTGCTGAGCAACCTGGGAAAGACAAGAATCAGGTATCTAACACTTAGACCAATGCTGGAAACAATAATGGATTTAGAAAGATTCTATGAGTTTACCAATAGTTGGCTAGGTGGAGGTGCAAATATAGGATATGCATCACTGATCCTGAGCTATGTAGAGACAGGATTTGGTATTGATGTTGACAGAATTGACTGGTGCAATCTTTCAGAACTGTTTGTTGGCAAGGACATAGAGAAAGACTGGGTTTCTAGAATTGTGAACAAGTATCCTTTGCTAAAGGTAAAGTATTATTAAATTTTATTTGCAGAAAAATAAATAAATGAAAATGTTTACATGAAATGATGTTTGTATGCACTTTTTCTTTAGGCAAAATAACTTGACCACTATCAATACGCAGTACTGTCTGGTCAATTAATAGTACAGATGCATATTTTATAAATGTAAAGCATATCTGTAGGGTGTTTGATGTAAAAAAGCGTGCAAATGCAAATTACTAAGCATATAGCAACATAAGGTCATGTAAAACAGTAAACTCTGAAATATTTAAGGCGATTGTTTGAGGTTTGAACAGAGTCTTTCGCGCCCACTTAGCTCAGTGGAAGAGCGCCACTCTCCTATTTTTGAAAAGTGGACGTCGCGGGTTCAATCCCCGCAGTGGGTTCACCCATTTTTTATTTTTCTGGCAGGAGCGAGATATCACGTGCAAGGGTGGCAAATCACAGCATTGATTTGATATGAGAAAAATTTTGCAAGCATGCAAGCGAGAGGACTGATGTGGCAGTGTGCGGCTTTGGGTGCGAGAAGTCGTTTGAATCGAGGAGCTCGCTTTAATTTTACATTATTTAAAACCAAACAGTGTTTGCAAGACGGCAGATTCAGATCATAGCAGGACCGAGATGAGCTCATCAGTTGCACAGAACATACTTTTCGTGGACGGCGAGGCGTCGTCGCAGGTGTCGGAGCTGGCGCGGTTCGTGGGGGCGCAGACGGGCGACGGCACGGCCGAGTTCGCGTTCGCCGACGGCAGCGCGGCGGCGGTGGTGCAGGGGTGCCTGGGCGGCGTGCTGGCGTCGGCCGGCGAGGAGAAGCTGGAGGCGGTGTACAATCAGCTGTTCGCCGTGGTGGCGCTGGACGGGCCGGCCGAGACGGCGGGCGCGCGGCTGGCGCTGCACACGGACGCGATCGTGGGCGACCTGGCGCTGCACTGCACGAGCGCGGCGGCGGCGCTGCACGTGCTGAACAACCTGTACAACGTGCTGGCGTCGGTGGCCGGCGGCGCGGCGACGGGGGCGGCACGTGCGCGCGTGTTCGAGGCCATCGTTGCGGTGGCGGCGCGGGGCGGGCAGCTGGGCTCGCTGGTGCCGCTGGTGGGGCGCGTGGCGGCGCTGGCGGGCGAGTGGGGCGTGGGCGCGGCGCGGCAGACGCAGGTGCTTATGGGGCTGCGGCAGGCGCTGGACGCGGCGGGGCTGGCCAACGAGGCGTACGCCGTCGAGCTGGCGGTGCTGCAGCTGGGCGCCGACGCGCCCGAGGCGGCGCAGGTGGCGGGCGCTGCGATCGTGCGGTTTGCCAACCTGGCGGCCGTGTGCGACGTCGACGCGCTGGCGTCGGCCGTGGCCGGCGTGCAGGGCGTGGACGCTGCGGCCACGGGCCTGCTCGAGACGCTGGTGTCGGGCGACTACGCGCAGTGGACCGCGTTTGCTGCGGCGCAGGGCCCTGCGCTGGCCCGGCTGGGCGTGGACGCTGAGCGCGCCGGCGACAAGATGCGGCTGCTGACGGTGGCGGCGCTGGCGGCGGCCAACCTGGGCCAGCCGGTGTCGCTTGCACGTGTTGCCGCGGCCATCGGCGTGGCCGAGGAGGACGTCGAGATGTGGGTCATCGACGTGATCCGGGCTGGGCTGATGCAGGGCAAGATGAACCAGGTGGCCCGGTCGCTGCTGCCGACGCGGTCGACGTACCGCGTGTTCGGCGCCGAGCAGTGGGCGCAGCTGCGCGTGCGGCTGGCGGCCTGGCACCAGTCGCTGGGCGACCTGCAGCCCGTCATCAGCAACGCGAAGCTGGTGGCGCAGCAGCAGGCGCAGCAGATGGCGGGGCAGGCGCGTGTGACGATTAAGGAGTGAAGGGGAGGGCTTATTGAAGGCTTTCTGCCCTTTTCTTGTTTTTTTCCGAGAAGCCGCTAATCTACCGACTTTTATTACATTTCAGCTCTTATATTGCAAATGGACGCGGTCGGCGCATACACGCCGGGGCAGCTGCGAGAGTAAGCAAGAAGCGTGTGTGGAAGGGAGGCGTAGGGAGGGCGTTGGCAGGTGCAGGAGGGCGCTAAAGCTTTTGGTGTATTCTGGTAGGCTGGTCGGGCGAGAGCGCGTGCTGGGCGAGCGGCTGGCGCGGCGGCGGGCGCTGCAGGCGCAGGCAGCCGCGGCGGTGCGGGCGGCCGAGGCGGCATTGCGCGGGCGGCGGCAGGCGCAGCGTCTGGCGGGGCACGTGCAGCGGCAGACGCAGCAGGCGGGGGCCCGGGCCAGCCTGGTCGAGCAGGCGTCGCAGCTGGGCGCGCACCAGCAGCAGCAGCGGCAGCAGCAGCGCTTGAGCGCGGCCGACATTCCATCGGCTTCTGCGGCCGTGGGCCGGCGGGTGCAGCGGCAGGCGGAGCTGCTGCGGCAGGAGCGCATCATCACAGAGGACGTGCGTGCGATGCTGGCGGCGGCACGTGCCTCGCTGGCGGCGCAGCTGCTGGCCCTGCTGGACGTCGAGATTGGCACGGGGGGTGCCGAGGGGTGGCGCGTGTGCGGGCTGCGCCTGGGCTCCGCGTTGGCGGCCGGCGAGGAGGCGGCGCTGGCCGTCGGGCTGGTGGCGCGCTGCGTGCACGTGGTGGCCGCCGGGGTTATGGGCGTGCCCGTGCGCTTCGCGCTGCTGCCGCGCGGCTCGCGGGCCGCCGTGTGCGGCGCCGGAACGGCGGCGGCGGCCGGCGAGCTGTGGCCGCTGTTTGCTGTCAGCGCTGGGGCGCGCGACCAGGCCAGGCTGGCGCAGGGGCTGAGGCTGCTGGCCGTCGACGTCGGCCAGCTGCTGGAGCGCCTGGGCGTCGAGGCGGTTGGCAGCGGCGGCAGCGGCGGCAGCGGCGGCAGCGGCGGCGCTGGCGCTGGCGAGGCGGCGGGCGAGGGCAGGCGCGGCGCCGGCGTTGCCAGGACGGCGGCGGCGGCCGGCGACGTGCTGGCCGGGCTGACGCAGCTGCTGATGGCCATCGAGTCCAGCTCGTTTGCGCAGTAGGCCGCGGCTCCGTCGAGAGTGAATGCGGGTCATCAGGCCACCTGGGCGAGAGTGTGGCCGGCAGCACAGGATTGTTGCTCTGTTTTATTTTTTATTTTCTATATTATCTTGTGTCATCAGGCCACCTTCGATTTTCTCTGCTTTCTCTCCCCTTCTCTTTCTCTTTCTCTTTCTCTTTGTTCTCTCCGTTGGCTGTTTTTATTTGATTATATTTTGTCCATCAGACACTCTATTCCTGCTTGGCTCCGAGGGCGATACTGAAAGAGAGCACGCTATATTATATCGCACGCGCATACACACAACGATGGACGCGACGGCCTGGCCACTGCGCGATCCGCCGGCGCTCCCGGCGGGATCGGACTGCGACATGAGCGAGGGCGAGGGCGCGGTCGAGGTCGACGACGAGGTGGTGCTGGCGTCGGGGACGCTGGCACGCGTGCCGTCGATTCAGCAGCCGCAGCACCTGTCGACGCCGCCGACGACGCCGTCGCTGGAGACGCGGCTGGCGCAGCTGCTGCAGTCGGTCGACGTGGTGGTCGAGATCGAGTCTGGCAGCGACATTGTGGCGGGCCTGCGGGCGCAGCGCCCGCAGGCGACGTCGGAGCAGGCGGCGCTCGCGGCGCTCGGAGCGTCCGACGAGTGGGCGCTGAGCGCCGGCCGGCTGCGGTACGCCGCCAGGTGCTGGGCCGCCATGGTGGCGCGCGACAGCGTCACGGTGGCCGGCGAGCGGGTCGCGCTGGTGGCGCGCATTGCCGGCATGGAGAGCCCGGCGGCGCTGGCGCGCTGGCTGGCGGCGCGCGGCCTGCGGCTGCGCCAGGATGGCTGCGTGTGGCGCGTCGAGGGAGACGCGTCCGAGCCGCTCGACGGCGTGGCGGCTATGGCGGCCGCCGTGCCGCAGGTGGTGGCGGCGCTGCCGGCGGCTGAGGACGGCGAGGCCGAGGCTGATATCGCAGCTGAGGTTGAGGCCGCGGCCATGGACGTCGACCGCCTGCCGGCCCGCGCGTCGCGCCGCGCAAGACGCGTCACCAACTACGACGAGCAGGCGCTGGCCGACGCCGCTGCCGCCGGCGCCGGCGCCGACGAGGCTCCGGCCAAGCGCGCCCGCCGCAGCGCGCCGTCGGCGGCGCCGGAATCACGGCCGGAATCAGCGGCGCGGGCGGCCCGCGGCGACGTGTCGTCGAGCGCCGGCATGCGCCTGGCGCTGGAGCGGGCCGGCGCCGCCGTCTGCGTGGCGGGCGACCGGGCGCCGGGCCTGGCGCAGCTGCTGGCGCCGGACATGCCGCCGCTGCTGGTGCCGCGCAGCGCCGCGCTGCCGGCGCACGTGGTGGCGCGGCGCGCCGCCAGCAGCGAGAGCCAGCCGCTGGCCGACAGCCTGGCCGACGACTTCCCGCTGCCCGTGGTGCTGGCGCGCTGGCAGGCGCGGCAGCAGCAGCGCTACGCCGCGTACGTGGCCGAGGGCCTGTGCCGGTCGGTCAGCGTGCAGGCCGCGGCGCGCAACGCCACGTGCCAGCGCTTCCGCAGCTCGCTGCCGTCGTGCAAGCACTGCGTGTCGCGGCAGGCCGACCAGCCGTGCCTGTTCCGCGACGTGGCCATGGTGTGCACGCTGGCCGTCACGCGCTTCGACGGCGCCGTGGCCGAGCGCGTGCTGGCCGCGCCCATCCTGGCCGAGCCGCCGGCGGCCGCCTACGACGGCTTCTACGACGTGGCGCAGCACCAGGCGCGCAGCCAGCGGCGCCTGCTGCGCGCCGCCGCGGGCGCCGCCGACGGGCCCGCCTGGCAGGCCGCCTACTGCGCGCTGGCCGTGGCGCCGCTGCTCGCGCCGCTGCTGGCGCGCGCCGTCGAGCTGCTGGAGCCGACCGTGCACGTGCGCGGGGCCGAGTACACAGCGCTGCCCGGCGTCGGCTGCTCGTCGGCGCCGTGCGTGCGGCGGCCGCTGGCCGACGGCAGCCGCGAGCTGTGCGACGCGTGCGCCGGCGAGGTGTTCGGCGTGTACTTCCTGTGCAGCCTGTGCGCGCGCGAGCTGTGCGCCGGCTGCTTTGCGCGGCTGGACGACGCGCCGGTGCGCGCGCGCCGGGCGTCGGCCAAGAGCCCGCCGCGCCTGCTGCTGTGCCGCACCGTGGCGCGCGCCGGCGCGCGCGTGCGGCTGGCGCACCGGCGCGACCAGTTCGTGCGCGTGTCGCGGCTGGCGCCGGCGTCCGTGGCACGTGCGCTGGGCTGCGCACGTGCCGGCCTCGAGGCCGCGCGGCTGCTGGGCCCGCTCGACTGCCTGGGCCGCGTCGCGCCGGCGGACGCGGCGCAGTTCGCCGCGCGCGTCGGCGCGCTGCAGGCGCGTGCGCGCGCGCGCCACGCGTACGCGGCGTGGGAGGCGGCGCCCGTGTGCGTCGAGGCCGGCGAGCTGAC